GTCTGACTGGTGGTTCTTGGGGTTGCGGATTGTACCGAAGGTTTCCGAATGATTTCTTTCTTTGTTCGCAATCATTGTTTGTTGTGTTGTGTGTATGCGCTCTCTGAGTGAATATGCCTATGTGTGATGTGTCTATCACTTAAACCTACGGAGGCACGTGTGAACCTTCCTAGAGTCCGCAGACCGGGAGTGAGTGAGCATGACTTGTCGTATGTACGTTTGACTTGAAGCTGAAGATCGAAGCAGGAGGAGTGACGTAACCTGACCAAGTGCTTAGACAGGTGCTATTACTTGTTGACTTCCGACCTTGGTTACGAAGCCTAGTTCCTTTTGGAATTGCGGGTGGATACCATAGTCGGGATGACCGAGAGGGAAGACGTCCGCGTTCTCCCGAAAGTGGGAGGAGCGGTAACCGCGAAAGCAGTATGGAACGGCGAGGAGATTCAAATAGTCGGAGTCGGGAACGTCGACAGGACCAAGCAACTGGCGAGGCGTCTCAGAGACCTCCACCTGTTTGTTTTGGATGCAAAATGATCGGGCACTACCGATCCGATTGTTGGAGGTTCTGGACCGATGCGTCTACACGGCGGCAGATGGAGGCTGAAGGACATACCTGTCCAACGGAGTTTGACCGACGAGGTGGAGTTTCACCACCAAGAGCTTTTCGACAACCAACGGCTGTCCAGGAAGATCCGGCGGCACGAGCGCAATTGGAAGAGCTCGGCAGAAACATGGCGTCCATGCAGGAGTTCATCGAAATGGAGAGGGCACGCCACGCCGAACGTGAGCTAAGGCGCCAGGAACGTGAAGCGGCACGAATAGCAGAGGAAAAAGTCGTGGCAGCTGAAGCGGAGCGTGCTGCTCGGAAAGTAGAGAAGCTACGGAGGAAAGAGGAAGAGCAACTAGCTATGGCTAAAGCAGTCGAAGTGCAACTCTCATTACGATTGGGCGATATCCGGGACGAAATCAAGATTGAAGTACGAAGGGTGGTCGCAGGAAGTGTGGTTAAGAACCTGACCTCGACTCAAGTTACGACTATAGCGAAGGAGAAAGGGAAAGCGGTTGAGGATTTACCTTCTTCTTCGGGCACGACAAGTGAGATCGAAGCAATCACGGAAGGCGCCGAGAACCTGACTATTCAGGATAAGCGGAAGCGGGAGGTCGATACCCCAGTGGGGGATAGCCCACCGGTTACGACGCCAGCAAAGCGTGTAAGCAAGAGGCAAGTGATTCGTCCAGTCCGTCTGTCGGAACGTCTCCAACGCACTCGAACTCGTATCTCAGTCCGAAAAAGTGCACGAACTAAAGCGATGACAGCTATGAAGGCACCGGCTCGAGATACAATGGTGGAGCGGATGCTGTATCTCGACAACACTCGTCGAGAACTTTCCAGGATGGACTGCGATCAACTTCGCGCGATTTGTCGTGAGGAAGCTGTCCCATACGCTACTAAGGTACAGGCAATTTTCGATATTGCTGATCGACGAGCAGTTTTGCAGTTCGGTGACTTGCGCGTGAATCAAGGAGCATTAGTTAACCCGGAAGAAGCAGCGGCGCACTCATGTGGTGAGGAATCTGAAGAGGGTAGCGAGGCCTGAACAGGCCTGACAAGTGACGAATGGACCAGAATAGCTGACTGCCTGATCTCTTTTCGCCGTCAGGAGAATGCCGTAGAAGGAGTCGAAGTAATCCTTCGTTTGTTGACCCTGCTGTTAGCCTTGCGTGGAAGAATATGTTGGCTGAGCAAGTGCGTGGACTCGTGGATTCGGCTGTATCAGCGGTACGGCCTGGAGTTTTTGAACCATTCGAGTTGCGTCTACATGATCACTTCAATCTGGTGTAAATCCCAATATATTGGGCAGACATCGCGTTGCCCGGGGGTGAGATGGCGCGAGCATCCATCCGTGTGTAAACGTGAAGCGAAGAGTACTCACCTATACCGATGGTGGAATTGCTTCGGTAACGAATCGTACTCCCTCTTACCAGTGGATGTTGTAGAGCCATCTGACTTGTTATCCGTCGAAGCTTTGTTCATCCGGAGTTGGAGTCCATTCTTGAATACAGTTGGTAAAGATGAGGGAAGAAGGCGGAATTCTTGCTGCGGGAAACGGGAGAGAGCAAGATTGAAGCGAGACATATCGACTACTGATGTGCACCGACCTATTCACCCGATTCGGGTTCGACTGTCTACGGATGAAGTTTGGACAGTCGATATTCTCAAGGTGCTGCATAAGCAAGAGGAGCTCGGAGTACGCGCGTTCACACTCCATTTTGAAGGTGGTAGCACGTGGGGCTGCAAATGGAAGAGTATTAGGAAGACTTTCGGGTCATCTACAGTTCTGTGTAAGGGTGTGACGGGTAAACTGGCGGAGTTTAAAGCCAATTTTGAAGAGGAGGACTTGCTGTCCGTTCAGTACCTGCGTAGATGGAAACCTCACAGGGCTACCAATAAACCACTTCTTATCTCCTTGCTGAAGAACCCGAGACGGATAGAATCATTGCGACGTTGGGATCTTGAATCGCTCTCAAGTTTGCTCAACTGTGTCAAGGAGTTTGAGAAGAAAGGCACTCGATCTTACCTGAGGCGTTTGATTGGGCGATGCGTGAAGGAGAAGTTGGTTTTAATCTGTCTGCTAGGATCGTGGTACGACTTTTGTTCGATGATAGAATTAAGCTGCATGAGGTTAGGAAGTTGGTCAACGGTAAGCTGTGTGGGTTAGTCTTACCTCCTTGTGTTGTTCGACGAGCGCGACGTAAGGTCCGCCTCATTTGGACTAAGAATCCGAGTGTGGCCGATTTGCTGCATAACCATCGTGCATTCGCACGAATGGAAGTGCTTCCCTGCGCATGTGCAGGGTTACCGTACCCAAGGGTACGAGGTCACGTCCGCTTTCGCCTACACGAGTTGGAGGGAGTGCATCCACTTATCGGCAACGCCAACAGCGTGCCGAAAGCTAATCACAGGGATAGACTGGCCGGGAGGTTGGGGAGGCTTTCCAAAGTTGGGCCAACATCAAGGATCAGGTGGTACGCTGTTCGTCAGAGGAACTCAGCGTTTGTTTAGCAGCTTCAACATCCTGCAGGGATGGTTGTTTAGATAGGCGCACGGTTCTCGAAGTGAAGCAGCATCTCGACGGTCTGGCACTGATGCCGCTGGACAGGAATCCCGGGGAAACCTTGGTTATCTGTCCTCGCCTGTACTATGAAGGGATGATGGATCTCTTTATCCGGAACCCAGGCTATGTCGCCGTCGATGAGAGTACGACTGGGATTCTGGCAAGGATGAAGACCGAGTTGCGGGATCAAGGACTGTTGGAATTTGCACGATGGGACAGGAAAGGGGCAATTGGGCAAGCATATGCTATGCCCAAGCATAAGGATCTGGACAGATTTCGCCCTATCTGTCCTTCCTACCCGGAACCGACGGCTCGTACAGGACGTGCCATGGCTAAAGGATTGAATCACCTGTTGTACGGCCTGTCGCGCGATTGGCACTTTAACCTGAAGGCTGTTTCTCAGTTGAAGGGAACCCTCGCTAGGTTCAACACGAAGCTGCAACATGCGCATCATCAACCGGAACTGATAGGACAGTCCTTTGACATCAAGGACATGTTCAGTCAGCTACCGCATCAGGAGATTATCGACGCAGTTGACTGGCTGCTGGATTATCACATTGCAAAGGGGAGGACCTTTGTACGTGTCAACACTCGAGGTAAAGGAGCATCATTCGGGCTGACTACCGGTTTTGACCATTGGAGGAAGCTTGACTTCCATGACATCCGTGAGTTCGCTGTTTTTGAACTTACGCACACGTACACGTTGGCGTTGGGAGTACTGATGCAGCAAAAGGTGGGAATCCCCATGGGGAAAAGTACGAGCCCACCTTTGGCTTGTATCATGTGTGCACGGTCCGAATTCATGTTCCTGCAGAGCCTGGGGAAGGCTAGGTGTGCTGTGTTTGGTGTACGGCTTATTGATGACGTCAGTGTTTGTGTGGATGAGAGGAGTAGGTCTGTTGTGGACGCAGCACAGATTTTTGAAGTCTTTCGTAATTGCTATCCCGCGAATCTCACTCTCAAACGCACAGATGAGGGGCGTGGGTTGTGGGATTTTTTGGGTTGTGAGTTGAGAATCAACCAAGTTTTTCCCTTTGTGGAATGTGTCCAAGTCTCCAAGAACGAGCGAACACTTTGGCAGAACGAGACTTTGCCCTTTTTGAATGGGCAGTCATTTTTGTCATGGGGGAGCAAGTCGCAGAAGAGTGCAGTTTTGGCAAGTCACTTGCATCGTATAGATCGGAACACCTCTGCCCGCCATGAGATACTGAGACGAGTGATCTCACTCCGACGGGAGATGCGTTTGAAAGATTTTTCCCTGTTCCTTTCTTTTTGAGAGTCTTGGGACGTTTTGCACACGGCAAGGGGGAGCCATGGAAATTGGCTTTGGAGATGTTGTCGCGTTGAATGAATGGGGAGTATTGATTGTAACCGTCATGGGTTGTATAGTATTATTTGTTTGGTTTTATACCCGACGGCAAGAATGTAGATCTGTGACTTGTACTCACACAAGATAGGAGTGCGTGTGTTTTTTGACGAGTATTAGCGTCTAGCTGTGGGGGACCCTCGGCCCCTCTGTAGTGACAGGGTTGGTTTTTGTTCTGTCTTTCCTTTGGGTTTTTGAGTGTTCGGGGGGTGTGCGTATTTCGGTACTGCTTTGGGATGAATTTTGCTATAGACCTGTGTAGCCCAGTTTGTAGCTGT